CTACAAATACTACCACTACAAAAGGAGTGAAGATCCATTCCTTGGAGGCAAATAGCACCAGCCTGAGCTGATACTAGGATCCTGAGCACACGTGGAGATGTCTTTGGGATTTTCTCCAGTAGGGGACTGCTGCACAGAGACAAATAGCTGAAAGGGTGATCATCCTGTCACTAGGAAGGTGACACTTCTGAAGAAGCTGAATGAACACTGGTGTTACTGAGCAGGGACAGATGCCTCTCTTTTATCACAGAATCTTCTAGGTTGGAAGAGACCTTAAAGATCATCTTGTCCAACCGTCAACCTGACTGACAAAAATAGACACCCACACAACAAACAAGGAGCATCATCACTAAACCATACCTCCCAGCACTACATCAACCGACCAAAAAATAAAATAAAAAATAAATCAATATCAAAATATCAATAAATAAATATCAAAATAATAATTAAAAAAAGGTGAATGAACTGTTGAAAGTTCTGCACTGTAGATAACAGCAAGGAAGAACCATCACTTGGAGTGAGTGACTGCTCTAGCACATCCCCCAGCTGTCAGTTCCCCAACACCAATAAAACGAGACCAAAAAGCCTCTATCTGTGCCAAGATTTGAAACACCGAGACTGAAGAAAATCAAAATAACACAGAAAATCTACTTTTTACCCAAGTGTATACACCACTGTGCCTTTCACGCAGCACAGCCTTCAGGATTTGGGCTGAGATGATGCAGCACACACATCGCCTTGTGCCAGAAAAACTCAGAATTCCTTCAACTGCATCGTCCTGAAACGACGACTCGTGTCGGGCCGTCGTAACACAGCTCGGTTCTCTCCAGCTGAGTACTTGGTCCTACAGTAATTACACTCTTCAGAAGGATATTCCACCCACTCCTCCACCGAAGAGCTAAATTAGCTCACAAAATGCCAAGTTTAAATTTCAACAAGTTGCAGACCTCTCCTGTTGGTACAGCAGTACGGCTGCAGGCTAAGCTGGCTGGGGTACAAATAACTTCAAAAACGTGTTTTCCTGCTCTAATATTTTGACAAAACTGATTTGTTTGGTTGGTTGTTTCCTAGCACTCTAGTCCCCAGCTCTGAAAGGTCACTCTGTCTTCCTCCCGACGAGTTCAGGATTATTTTTCCCATTCTCGGAGAAGGTCAAAAAATATATAATATCTGCATGTTCCGTAGAGAAATCTTGCACAACATTGAGCCACCTCTCTCATACTACAGCACGGTGCTCGGTGCTGTTCTTGAGCCACCTCTCTCATACTACAGCACGGTGCCGTTCTGGGGAAGCATTCAGCAACCCAGCTATGAAAACAAGCTGCTGAAAACAACATAGAACCATAGAATTGTCTGGGCTGGAAGGGATCTTTCAGATCATCGAGTCCCATCATCAACCTAACACTGGCAAAACCCACCACTAACCCGTGTCCCTCAGCACCACGTCTGCCCAGCTTTTAAATACCTCCAGGGATGGTAACTCCACCACTGCCATGGGCAGCTCATTCCCAGGCTTGACAAACCATTCAGTGAAGAAATTTTTCCTAATATCCATCCTAAACCTTTCCTGGTGGAACCTGCAGCCATTTCCTCATGTCCCATTGCCGGTTCCTTGGGAGAAGAGACCAACCCCACCCTGACTACACCCTCCTTTCTGAAAAAATTTTTCACTGAAAGGGTTCTCAGCCATTGGAATGGGCTGCCCAGGGAGGTGGTTGAGGCACCATCCCTGGAGGTGTTCAAAAGACGGGTTGATGTAGTGCTGGGAGGTATGGTTTAGTGATGGTGATGCTTCTTGTTTGTTGTGTGGGTGTCTATTTTTGTCAGTTAGGTTGACAGTTGGACAAGATGATCTTTGAGGTCCCTTCCAACATAGAAGATTCTGTGATTCTGAGTTGTAGTGAGCGAGAAGGTCTCCCCTCAGCCTCCTTTTCTCCAGGCTGAACACCCCCAGCTCCCTCAGCCTCTCCTCATAAGACTTGTGCTCCAGACCCCTCACCAGATCCATTGCCCTTCTCTGGGCACACTCCAGCACCTCCATGTCTTTCTTGAGATGCACAACCTACACGTGCAAAAGCTTCTCTGTGTGAACTGCAGAGTCACGCGACGTTGTTCTAGTGTGAGGAATAAACTTCATTCATTACGCTCTGCAGGAACTGCATCATTTTCCTGATGCACCCCATCCTGAACCCGCTTCCTCCAAATTTTCATCCTCCCCCAACAGCAGGCACATTTAAAGAAACACTTTTATACTGCTCCCCCTGCCACAAATGTAAGATCGCTGAAAAAATTATCCTTATTTGGAAAAACAGGATGGAAATAGTTTAGTCTTAGGCTTAAAGGTCCTCTTCTACTTTGAGGTAAAAAAAAAATTAATCCACTTCTATGAAACTAATGTACCAAAAACCCACAAACTTTTGAACAAAGAAGAGTAAGATTTCCTCCTTTCCATGTCAGTCAACGCTCATCTTCTGCCCTAAACCAGCAAGAGATTATGGATCTTAAAGCACTGCTTTTATGCATGAAGAAGCTCTTTTGGAAGCTTCTGTGACTCCCTCTGACACCCCCTCTGTCGGGCCAAGAGCAACGAAACTTTCACAAGTGAGTTGTTATATTTTTCTTAGCCCACATTTTATAGAAACTTTGGTCAACTATATTTCTCCTCAAGATGGAAACATTCATCTTTTATACGTGCACATCTCTGCATGCTTCCCTATAGGAGTTCTATCAACTTGGGTTTGGAATAGCCAGTGTAACTCACTGCCAGTTTCACCCCTCAGGAGGAATGAAACCCTCACAAGCTCTCACTGACAAGGGGGAATCACCAGCCTTGACGTTCTGCTTCACTGAAGATAAAATCTTGGAGGATTCTTACTCCCAAGGCTTTGTCCTCCTGGAGCAAAGTTTGAAGAACTCAAAGGTCTTAATGTTTTTCCAGACCTCCTGGATCACAGAATCCCAGAATGATACGGGGTTGGAAGGGACCTCTGGAGATCATCTAGTCCATCCCCTGCCAGAGCAGGTCCACCTACAGCAAGTCCCACAGGAACGTGTCCAGCCAGATTTTGAATGTCTCCAGAGAAGGAGACTCCACCACGTCTTGAGCAGCCTGTTCCAGGGCTCTGCCACCCTCAAAGTGAAGAAGTTCCTCCTCATGTTTACATGGAACTTCTTATGTCTCAGTTTGTGTCCATTTCCTCTTGTCCTATCTCTGGGCACCACTGAAAAAAGACTGGCCCCATCCTCCTGACACCCACCCTTCAAGTATTTATAGGCGTTGACGAGATGAGAGTGTGATGGCTGATGGTATCACAGGCCAAACCCATTCCCCATGTTCTTAAGTTTAGGTCACAGAATCATAGAATCATAGAATGGTTTGGGTTGGAAGGGACCTCAAAGATCATCCAGTTCCAACCCCCCTGCCATGGGCAGGGACACCTCCCACCAGAGCAGGTTGCTCAAGGCCACATCCAGCCTGGCCTTGAACACTTCCAGGGATGGGGTAAGTTCTTCCCTTTAAACGAGGCCAGACAGCTTCAGTTCCATGACATTTCTTTTAGAAAACCCATCATTAACTTCTGGCTGGACATCCCCAATCACATTTTTGAGAGAATACTGAAGGAAGGTGAAAATTTGTATTTCCCATCAGGATTTCTTTAATAAAGATACTAACTCCACTATAAAGATGATTAAGTGGGTAACGAGTGGACGTGATCCAAGGTCCATACCTTACATTCACCATGTCCAAGAAGTATCTAAATTCACACCCTACACACAGTTGGCCATAGAATCATAGAATCATTCAGGTTGGAAGAGACCCTTGGGATCATCGAGTCCAACCATCTACCCTACTCTACAAAGTCCTCCCCTACACCATGTCCCTCAGCACTGCATCTAAACGGCCCTTAAACACAGCCAGGGATGGTGACTCCACCACCTCCCTGGGCAGCCTGTTCCAATGCCCGACCACTCTCTCTGTGAAAAATTCCTTCCTAATGTTCAATCTAAACCTACCCTGTTGGAGCTTGAAGCCGTTCCCTCTCGTTCTGTCACTAATTACCTGTGAGAAGAGACCAGCACCAACCTCTCTACAGTGTCCTTTCAAGTAGCTGTAGAGAGTGATAAGGTCTCCCCTCAGCCTCCTCTTCCTCATGTTTGTGTAAGCAAAAAAACCAACCCTGTGTGCATCACTGCACGGTCCAACAAACCTTTAGAGCAACAGCTAAATAGACCCGTCCCCTACAGTGAAAAAGCACGTTAGTGCAAGAGGCAGAGAGCATTTTTCAAGAAGAGGCCAGAGGTGGAATGACCACCATAAATCTTGCCACCTCTTGTAAATAACGCTGGGCTCATTTCTTTCACCTCCTCCATCAAATCGCGGGCGAGGTGTATATCCCTGTACTATATATAAAGGCAATTGCAAAATAAATAAAGAAAACCCTCTTACACGCATGCTTGAGCCTCAGAGCAAGAATGAGAGAGCAGACATGTGACAGATGATGGGTCTGCTGCCTGGGAGTCTCAGATACCAAGGTGACAGGCACGGTACCAGAATAAAGCCTAAGCAAGGTACAGCTTCCGTACGCTACAGTCAAAAAAGGAGAATCAAAGGAGAATTCCCCGAAAACACGCTGGCAGCAAGTGTCTCAGCTGACTAGAACCAAGCCATAATGACAAGAGAAGACAAGCGATTAGAGCTGTGACACTTTGGGAGACAGGCATGACACGGTAACACAGAACAAAAATGTCACTCTTTGAAAGCTTCCGATAAATCACTCAGAAGGCAAAAAGACCCAACCTTTCCGCACGCCATACGGATGATTCCACAGAAAATTTTTTTTTTGCTGATATTTAAGCTCTCCCGAGTTAAACAGTCTGTTACAAACGTGGCCACTTACCAAAAATCAAGACAAATTCCATCCTCTTGAGGATGACAGGTATTTTCCAGTATTCTGGATAGAAAAACTGTTATAAAATGTGCCCACCTGAGGGAGTCTTACCTGCAAGACGTCTTGGATCTTCACCCATACATCAACCATGTCATAGAGCTTAATATCACCGTCGTACTGGCTGCAAGGAGAGGCCACCATTTGCTGAAGGTGTCCAAGGACAACTGAATGCGCAGCAGCCACAGCGTTGAACTTGTCAAAGAGAAGCTCGAGCAGTTCCAGCAGTAACCTGCAAACCATCAAGAGAACCTCCACTCAGTTTCCAGAAGACACCACAGGCACTGTCACACAGGACATCGGAGCAGCAGGACAGGAGCCAGAATCACAGAATGGTAGGGGTTGGAAGGGACCTCTGGAGATCCTCTAGTCCAACCCCCTGCCACAA